TACACGACTAGTGGGTTCAGGGGCTGAATGGCGCGAGGTAAGAGGATGAGCGAGTTTCCAGCCTTCTGCGACCGCCAGAGATGCCGCGAGAAGGGACGGAGCACGAGACCCGGGGGAGGCCAACCAGGGGCTCAGAGGGGGCATGACCTGGACGTGTACGTTCGGGGGTCAGCACCGGGCTGATGTGCCCTCAGCTCTCAGCGTGCGACCCTGGACGGGTTAGGCCATAGAGCCGTGGACTTCTGCCCCGACCACGGTCGAGCGACAGGGACTGGATTTACCCTCCACCCGAACACCTGAACACCAGAAAAGATATGAATCCCTGGTTCCCAAGGCTTTGGAAGTCACGCAGTGAAGACAGGGGCCGTGGAGGGATGAGGAAATGGGGCCATCGCGGCCCCCAGCTTCTAGGTTAGTTGGAATATTAGACAGTCATGTAAAGCTCTGAGCAAGCCCTCAGGAAATGCTGGCATCATTCTTTCTGCAGCCACAGGAGGTGAAGATTCGGCCTCAAGAAAGGGCGGATGGAGCAGAGGGCTGACCCGCGACGCCGTCTTCAGACCCACACGACCTGGGGGAGGGACCTGCACAGCTGGGTGTGGAGGGCTGGGGGAGCACAGCGAACAGGACGGCGTGAGGGAATTGGACACCTAAGTTTAGCCTGTTTCTGTAAAACGATGGGTGCATTTACATGGGGAAATTTACATACAAGTGATAATGCTTTTACTTAGGGAGTTGGGACTTGAGTTAGTAATTTGAAAAATCTGTATGTCCAAATTTTCCATCGTTTTACTATCAGCAGTGGTTTTCCACTACACTTCAAAGTAAGATACACAGAATGACTGAGTTCAATTACCTGAGGTCTGTTTCAAGATCAAGCTGTGGCTGAGATGACCCCATGTTTACTGGATTCTACACAAGCCGCCTTTGTGGGGGGCCAGGAGGGCACAGGAGAGGACCGTGAGGGGACCCTGATGATCCGCTACTCTGCTGACCAGACCCGGCACTGCTGGCCACAGTGGGGCCGAAGGGCCTTAGCCGGGCGGCAGGGCCCATGCGACTGGCTTGGATGGAGCCAGACCCGTAACCCTGCTCTTGTCAAAGGGCCTCCTGTCCAAATAAGCTCTCGTGAAACAGCCAACCAGCCAAAGGCACCACACGGGAAACCCCATGACCCGGTTGGGGGCTGCTGAGTCCCACTGTGCCTGGAAGGTGGCCCGCCAGGGGTCTCTGCACCCTGCTGCCTGCCGGCCACTCAGGCCGTAGTTCAACAGGAGGCGACACGTGCAGAGGAGGCTGGTGCCTGCCTCCAGGGCAGAGGGAGAGGCTGGCCATGGCTGTGGGCCTCCAGACCCCCACCCATCACCTCCGCGCGACAGGTGTTGGGGGTGGCAGGCCTGTGGCGCTCCCCCAGCGCTGCGGCAACAAGGCTGCCCTACAGGAGCCACGGGGAGCAGCCTCGCCAGGAGCCTGACTCTCAGCTGAAACCTGACACACGAAGGCCATAAAGCAAGGAAGTGGAATTTCACGGCCAGACCCTCCATTAGAGCTGGATTGGGGGCATGAGAGGCCACACCTGTGACAACCCTTTTTCCCAAGGTCAAGGTCGAGATGGAGACCATCTAAAACTCCGCCCACTGAGCCCGGGGCTCTGACTTTTACCCGCGCAGCGCGGAGCCCAGATGAAGGCCCTTTGAGACGTTGTGCCCGGTGGTGGGAGCCCTGGCTGTGACTCCCCGGTGGGGCAGGGCCCCAGCCATCCTCCTCCAGGTCCCGTCTTCATCTCTGTTCCTGTCGATGGAAGGTGGAGGGGTGTCCCC